CATTTTTTAGCATAACTTACAATTCTGAGTTTTGATGATTTTTCCCAAAATTGGCCACGAGGCGCAGCAAGTTGCGGAACTAGGTGACTTGCACCATAGTTGGGAAATAAAAATAAAAAAAAATAATAATGTATTAACATTTAATTATTAGGCCAAATATCGCAAATTACTGGTACAAAATCGTATAGAGGCATATGAAATTTCTCAAGAATTCGAGACTCCTATTGTTCCATTAAATATCTGGAATGCAATTGAATGTTGTGCAAAATCTTGGAAAGGTGTAAGTTCCGAAACAATTCAAAATTGTTGGGAAAAAACCCAAATAATCCCACCATCATCACAAGATAGTCATATTGTAGAAACTGTTCAAGATAATTTTGAAGAAGAATCATCACAACTGGAACATCTAATTGACAAATTACCATTTGACGATCCTATTATGGCAATTGATTATATTATGATTGACAATGAAGTGGTTGAAGAAGAAACAGTAATGGAAGATGAAGAAATCATAGCTACAGTCACATTGACATCTAACAATGGTAATCAAGAGGAAGAAATAGAAACTCCTGTAGTTACTTTAACTGAAGCATTGAGAGGTGCTGAAGCACTTCTTAATTTTGTAACTTACCCACCAGAAAAATTTGAAATTTCAACAAAGCAAATTTCTAGTATTCGTTCTGTTAGAAGTAGCATTTTATTATATAAAAGTTCACTAGTGCATCAACGTAGTATAGATGAATATGTAAACTTTGATGTATAATTTTTTAAACCGAATTTTTTTTTAAAAATATATTAACTTCGTCTTATCAAAGATTACTTGATAAAACGAATATTTATAAAACGATGTTTTGAGCCCAAAACAAGTACATCGGTTTAACGAGTTCTGACTGTACTTATTTGGAAATGCGCACATGTTACTTTGTAACACAAATTGAATGTCCACCATGCTCCCAATTACTCATTTTTTTATTAAGTAAACATGACCTGATTTTTTCACCAGTTATGATCCTTATAATATAAATACATATTATGTAAAAAACTCAATTTTGGTCAGGGGGCACTTAAGCTACCTTTTGCTAGAAAACCCCCCATATAGAGGTAATTCTATATATCACTTAAGATAACAAAATGGAATATTATAAAACTATTAATTGACAATCCGTGAATGAATGAGAGAATTTTTGTGTGATCGGCGGGGCAAAAATGTAAAAAAATCACCAATCAATAATGTTTA